TAGTTATGGTTGAATATTACATTAATTTGTCTTCAATACGGCATCACAATTTTAAATCAATTGTTGACCTTTTCTATTTTGAATCAATTAACACTTCAATCCGTGCATCATATTGATGGTAGGTTTAACTATAAAATATGTCTACAAGCACTTCTTAATTTGGTGAAGAGCTCACGGGCATATCAAGTTATTAAGACCAATTCTAGTTCCCTATAGGCTTTTATTTTTATTTATTTATTTTTTTTTTGGGTAGGAAGGATAGAAAATATATATAAACTAAAAAACACATAATTACATCTACATAACAAGCAACCTAACAATTGAATATGGTTGGAGGATTAGTAAGGCTATATTTGGTAGACAAATAAGCTAGCTTATAGCTTATTTGGTTAGCTTATAAGCTTCCTGTTTTCAAATAACTTCCTGAACGAAGGAAGTGGAAAGACACTAAGGGAGAGGAATATGCCGTTTGGTAGGATGAGTTTTTTAAAAAAGTTCGAGCTTATTTGATAAGCTTCTTTAGGCAGGGGGTGTCCGGAGGGGTGCCTGTCGGGTGCTGTCCAGTTTGAGGAACTCTAGTGGGTGTGGCCGATGTGCCGGCTACCAGTGAGACGGGGCTCATCAGAGAAATGGGCCCGGGGCCAAGAATATCGACCTCTCTAATTTTTTCGCCTGAGGGGTGGAGGTCGGCACCGGCGTCGGAGCTGAGGCCGCCGGTCACTGGCGAGGTGATGCCGGCCGCTAGCACAGCGACGACGGAGGCGGCCACCGGAGGCAAGGCCGCTATAGGGGCTGAAGGGTGACAGGATGAGGGAAATGAGGAGAATGGGCAAGGTGAGTGGTGATGATGATGAAGAGGTGGGCTGATGTTGGTTGAGTGAGGTGGGCCAATGTTGGTGGGTAGTTGGCTGTGATGTGGGCTTGTGAGGGGTGGGCTGAGGGTAGAGCTGTCAAAATAGTCAACGCCCCGCGGGCCGGCCCGCCCTGCCCCGCCCCGCAAAAGGGGCGGGTTGGGCCTTTATTTTCAAAGCCTGCCAGGAAGCGCGGGACGCGGGCTGGGG